ATTGTTTTAGACTTCAATTTTTCAATACTTTTTTATTAAAATAAATGAATAGAATAAGAAAATAAATATCTTATTGATGAATTAAATAAATTTTTTGAAATATAACAAGTATAACTAAACTATTTCATATTTATTAATAATCAAAAAATTTGAAAATATAAAATAAAATTAAAAGATTAATAAAATATATAAATACAATTTAATATAAAAATTTTATAAAAAAAATATTTAATTTTTGTATTAAAAAGTTAAAATTTTAATTTTTATAATTAGTTTTATCCACATATTATAATATAGAATGATTTACAATTTTTTAAAATAATCAGATAGAAACAAAGAAAAAGAAGATTGCAAACAAACACATGTATACTTACGTGTAAAGCTGTTGCGTGAGGCGCCCTAAGGTCCCGCCTTCTATTCTAATACAGTTGCCTCTCGTCTGTCATGTTATATACTTTATTCATGAAAGTGTGTTGCAGAACAAACCCCGCATATCGAAGGAGGGTAACCAAAAGAGAGGGAGAGCAATAAAAGATCCTTTTCATTGTAAAAAGAAACCAAGCATGAAAGGACATGGAAAATTATACGTCACCCCAAAAATCATTTCAAGCAAGTACAGTAGACCATAAAATTACATCATTAAAATATATTTTCTATAAAAAAATTGTACAAAAAAATTATCATATACATATTAGAGAAAAAAGAATTGATTATCATTGTATTGTTTATTGATACATTATTTTTATATAAGTTGTAAATATTAAATATATTTTTTTAAATGTGATTGTAAAAGTTATACAGATTTGATATTTTCGAGACAGAAAAATAAAATCGCGATTAGGTAGATTGCATTATTAGATAAAATCAGTGTAGTATATGTATGTGTAATGCAATACTTACTTACTATATATTTACTGTGCATATTCGTGTAATGCAATACTATACATACATTGTATCATATAATCTAGACTTCTTACTGGCATAGCAATAACCATTTTTTGATAATTCCATATTACGTGATCATATGATTTTTAACAATCTGTAAGTTTTAAATTTAATATATTATTATTTGGATCAAAAATCAATACAAGTTTTAAATTATAATAAATTTTAAATATAATAAATTTTAAATATAATAAATATAAAATTTTGAAAAAATTACATAAACATTAAATTAATTATAAATTTTAAATAAGATGAATATTCATTACTATAAGATAAATATTTATTTTTAAAAATTTTTAGTTATTAAAAATTAGTCAAAGTGATTAATAATAATAATATATCGATATGATATAATTATATCGATATAATATAATTAATTATATTATATCGATATATATAATTATTATATATCGATATAATATAATCTATTATATATCGATATATAATATAATATAATATAATAGATTATATTATATTATATATATAGATTATATCGATATAATATAATATAATATAATAGATTATATCGATATATTATTATCTAATATAATATAATTATTATTATTATTATTATATAATATAATAATATTTCTATATTTATTATGCNNNCGATATTATAATATAATTTTATAAATAACTATGATATAATTTATATTGTGTTTAATTAAATTTGTAATAATATATTTTTAATAGTTTAATTTATATTATTATATTTATAATAATTTTATATTTATAATAATGAAAAAGCAAAATTTTTATACAAAAACTTAGAGTACCTGTTTTATGTCGTATATACGATTCGTGAATATCTAATGACTACGTTCCGTTTGAAATTGTGTACACATGTACCTACATACACTATCTATCAAAAGTTTCAGCATACAAAAAAATATATTTTTGAATGTGATATAAAATCAGAGTATTTTAAGAAATTTAAAAAATACAGAATAATAAAAGATTATAAAATGTATAAAAAATTAAAATATTAATCCTAAGAAAGAAAGAAATTTAAAAATTCTTTAATAATAAGACATATTCAACTTTTGAATGCTAGTGTATATAAGTACACGTGTATTCGTTTATATATGAAGAGCAGGTTCGAAATACGAACAACACAAGGGGTTTCTCTACTACGATTAACTTCGTTGGAGTGGGGGAAGAGCACACGATCGCATCAAGCTCGCACCATGAGTTTTCGAACGACAACGGTAGGAGGCAGATCTCTTGTATACGTTTCTCGTTTCTTGTTAATATTATTTTTATCCAACAATTTTTTTTTTTGTTTGGCAGTAAGAAGAAATTTATATGTGAAAAATTTAATATTTTTACCGTGTAGAACTGCGTGTAAAATGAAAAACATTCTCTATCGGTGTTCAAAACAGAAGATGATTTGATGTAACATAGGTACATATATACAAAGGTCGGTGACTTGAAAAATCTCTGGACTGCTGTCTATAAAGTAAGTACTTTCAGATGAATATATATATATAATTTTTATTAGAAATTTTTATCTTCTAAACTATCGAAATATTAAGAAAATTAAGTATTATTTTCGAAAAGTGCGATGATTTATAGTTTTTATTAATAAAAATATCTAGCTGCTTTTTATATTTTTATTTATAAAAATTATGTAAAAAATATTGAAAAAGTTGGTTACTTTCATGAATTATGTAGTGTCTTTTTGATTTTATGTGTTTTAACCGTAATTAAATTTGTAGTATATAAAAGCACTTTACCTATTGAATATTGCTTTGAATGTTCCTATAAAGTAATAAACTAAAAATCTTGAATGCTTTTATAAAATGGATTAAACTTTATTTTATAGTGATATTTCATGACAATAAATATTTTCATATTATTTAATAATAATAAATTGATAATAACATTTTAAAGTATTCTACGCACTCTTAAAATTTTTCTAAATATATATTCACGAATAATTATTTAAATAATTTATTGAAAATATTTATTTTATATTTATTAGATATCTATTTTCTATTTTATATTGATTATGATTATTTCTATCTCTAGTTCATATTATCATTATTATATTATTATCGTTTATAATAAAATATTATAATATTTTATTATTTGATATATTTTTTTTTATTTTTATTATTTAACTATTTTTTTTCTCTTTTCTTGATTTCTGATATTATTTTTATTATCAAATTATTTTTTTTGAACAAAATTTAAAAACCAATATAAAATAGTAAAACCAATAATTCCCTAAATAAAATTCCTTCAGTGTTATGCGATAGTATGTTTTAGAAATTAAAAAATTCATAGCTTATATAATCATTTAATATTATCCTAAAAACATTAAAATTATTTTGTTTTATTTTATTTTATTCAACAATTTTATTTCATCATATCGATTTCTTACTATTATCTTATTATTATTATTTTTCTTCTTTTTATGATTTTCACTAATTTTCATGATTAACCAATGAAAACAGCGATAAGTTAAGCACGAGTCGAGAATGCTGTAACGAAAGTTAAAAATAGCTAAATATAGCAAAGGATAATATTATAAAAGAAATAAGGTTGACAGACGCTTACTTGCATTAAGAAATTATTCGATTAATATATTTTAATATATTTCATATATTTGCTTTTAATATAATTCATATATAATAATATTAAATAAAAAATAATAAAATGAAAATATTAATTTTTTGATATCGATCTTCTTATTAAAAAAAATAAATATTAATAAAAATTATAATATAATTTAAATATTTTAATAAAATTAAAATAATATAGAGAAATATTTTTTTATTTTACAATGCAAAACTATACATGCATTATAATAGTACTGCTTCTACAAATTTCCCAAAATTGTAAGGATATATTTCTAAAACAAAAGCATTATCTACTGGAAAAGGAATAACATCATGGAATAAATTTGATGTATATATAAAAGGATATATGTACGGTGTCCATGCAGTTATATTCTTGGAATAGGATTTTGGCATAAGGTGATCATAAAACGTAGCAACTGACTGTCTAGACTTCGCTATGCTTGCACGTGAACGCAACATATACTAAGTACGTTGTTCGATCGATTTCTTACCGTCCATGTTCGATAAACTATAGTTTTCACCGTCACGACATTGCAAACGAATAGGTCAATGTACTGGCGCATAATTGAGACAATCTCTTAGTTAATAATTAGCAATTCGCAAACAATGTAGATTGGAAGAAATGTTCCATTTGTAACACTTCGCTGCCGGCTTTTATTCTAACCAGATTAATTTAACGCGATATAATACGCATAGAATCATTGACGACCACTAGAATTTAAAACTGTTATTTCAAACAAAATATCTGAGATCTAGTGTATTTAGAAATTTGTAAGATAAGTTAGGTAAAAATTATTCAATTTTAAATATTCGAAATTAAATATTCATATCTATTGAGTATTTAAATCAATATAATAATTGAGAAACTTAACCTTACAATCGTCTGTTGTTTTCAATTAACATTAGTAAATTAATCGAAAATGACTGAAAATAATTGATTCTTAAGTTAAATTATTCATTATTAAGTTAAAATTATTTATTTTTTAACATTTTTTTTTTTTTAATTTAATTTTAATGTTGATATATATAGGTTATATAATTTTATACACACGTAAAGAATGTATCGATTCTCAAAACGCTCATTCGTTAGATAGAAATAGACATGTGCACACTATTTATTATTAGACAGTGTAAACGGTGAGATTCAGAAACTTTTTCTTCTATTCATCCAGGAGGAAACGCGGAGATCCTCTTTCGAGAAAGACACATTCAGTTAACGTACCTACCTGTTTCTTCTTGCTGCGTAGTCTGGTTTCAGTTATGGACCACGGAGCAATGTAAACGTGCTCTACGGAACCCGCTATATCTTCATTCCACGGCATTATCTTTTGCCATTATTCCATATTTTTTCTGCGAATTTAAATACAATTTAAAATTTACATAATGCAGTTTAATTATTAAATTATCCAATACAAAAAATAGAAAACGAATAATGGAATCAATAAAATAATTTCATTGTAAGAATGATTTAAGATAATTACGATAATTTTGTTGAGAAATTATGATTTAAGGATGTTTGTTTGTTTGCTCATTTTAGAACAATTTATGAATAGTTTTGTAAAAATAATTTCCATTATGTATTTGTTATTTTATTGTTATAAAGAACAAGAAAAATGAGATTTTTAGTATATTAGTATAATTTATATATATAATTAG